CCGTACTGAGCCTGGAACGCACGGCCGCTCTCGGATAACTTGTTATCGGGCACGTAGCGTTGCAGAAACTGCACGGCGAGTAAATGATCAGCGGCAGCGAGGGGCCGCTGACCCTCAAGCGATCTCCTTACGGAGTTCGCACGGAGCTGCCTACACCACCGGCTCCTGAAGTCCTTTTCGGTTGGGTTTCCCTGGTGAGGGAACTGCTGCACGAAATCCCGAGAGATTTCGGCCCACTTGAAGGAGGACAACACCTTCAGTGTTGCTATGAAGACGATGTTGGCTTGGGACAAAGCCCCAAGACCGTTCACCGGCGGACCGGTCCGACGCGCAGACATTTTGAGATTTGAAGTTTTCTTTTTCTTCGTTTCAAGAAACTCCGAAAGTGTAACTTCGTTTGTGAGTCTCACGCGTGGGGAGGAAAGAGAAAGAAAGAAGGAAGAAGAAAGAAAAGTTGAGGTGTTTTGATTTCGCTGCCGCAGGATTCCGCAGAGACCAGAACGGCACAACCACCCGCTTAGTCGTGGTGGGCGGGTGCGGCAGCGAGCACCTCACTGTCGCATAATGTGACAGTCTTCATGGGGAGAGGGACAAAGCCCCTCTCCCCACGGATTTTCTTCTTCCTTCACCCTTTCCCCGCATCGTCAACATATACATCAGGTATTTATAAAGGGCTCCCAAGCCCTATAAGACGGGAAGGCGAGGAGCGCCCACCTGGGGCCTCCGAAACTTTCGGAGGCCCGAACGGGTCCGGCCAGCAAGTGGCCGTCCCAGATCGATGCCAGCCGCAACTCACGGGGGCATCTCGACGGCGATCGGATTGTTGACAACCCACTCGATGCTTCTATGAAGCAGAGCGAGCAGAAAGGGGCGACGGCCATGAAAGTCATTCACGGCAGGGAGGGAGAGGCCCTTGATAGACAGGGCCATGGTGGGGAGTATCAGCCCAGAGTACATGGGCTATGTCGAACTCCCAGGGCCCTTTGTCGCCTCGAATGGGTTTTTGGGCCGTGCGGGGTATTCTCTTAGCTCCAGAGAACCCCGGAGAAGGCACGGCTCTACAGAAGTGTCAGTGAGATGAAACATCAGGCACCAAGGGGACTTACATGTTTTTTTCGGGGGCTCCATGCCGTTGTCTTTGTTGCTCTTCCGAGCCTCCTCAAGCATGGTATCGATGCCTCTCTCTTTGAGGGTTTTCTATATATGTTTATATATGTTAAGTGATGTTCCGCCCTGATTCGGCAATGAGTCAGGCGACGAGGATGGATTGGACTTACCTCCATACACTTCCGATACTTCTTGAAGAGTTGTCCACACTCATCGGCTGATGAACTATCACGAAGGTATTCTTGACTTGTGTTAGGATACCAAAGGAATGAGAGTGAGGCCTTACTTACTTTCGCTGTACCACTTGAGGAAGCACGAGTCATACTGCCTGAAGAAGGGAGTCAGTTGGTTGAGGGAGAGACATACAACCATGAAGGGGTGTTGATCATACTCTTTGATCTCGTTGCACTCTGGAGCAAGTGAGGCTGCCATGATGGAAGAAGGTGTGTTATAAGAGGAGGAAGAGGTAAGAGTGGAAGAAAACAGAGAGAAGGTTGGTGTGATAGGGAGGATGATATCGGTTCTGTGCGAGAGGGAACTGCTCAAGGGAGTTAAGCGAAGGAAAGATGCACAGATGTTTTTTGATGAAAGGTAAGTGCAATGTCTAACGAGTAGATGAAGATGAAGAACTGAACGCACAGAGAGAAGTGAGAGAAAGAAAGAAAGAAAGAAAAGAAGAAGAAGAAGAAGAAGATGAAGCTCTTGTTGATATTTCTACTTTGGTTCGGACGCTAACGCTATAGGGTTAGCGTCTGGATAGCTATCTCGGGTCTTCTCGGTGTATCTTTTATCCGGTGAACTTTTCTTTCCTGGTTGAACAAAAAAAGAAACAGAAAGAGAAGAAACACAGACAGACAGCTCTTGTTGTCATTGTTGAACTCGATAAGTTATCGCAGAGGGGGGGTTATCTACCAAAGGTCTACTCACTCTGGCCATTGAGCCCTAGCCCTTGTTCCCGCAATGGAACCAATCCCGGAGTTTTCGTCGCTGCAGAGCCAAGTAACGTCGGCCTTGGTCCAGTCGACGAGGACGAGTGGGCAGATATCGTCGGGGGACCTGAACTTCCAGCGGTCCTGTGATAACAAGGTCGCAGAAGGCCTAGATTCGCAGAATGCGCGGTTAATAGGGTTGGTATCTTCTCTTCTAGATATAGCGACTGCCAATTCGGACTTGAAGAAACCCGACGTAAAAGCAGAGGATGGCCTGGAGGATAACTGGAGAGCGGTTATAGATGTGATCGACGAGCTCCTTGAGAAATCAGACGCCAACCTTGATGAATTTACGGGAATCATCAAAAGACCAACCGCGGCTCAGGAGGAACAAAACTCGGCGTCGAAGCAAACCCCCGCCGAGATCCCAAGCGTGTACGACTTGGGCCCATCCAAGATCCCCAAACCTCAAGAGCTGTTCCATCGATCCCCTTGCCCTGCAGAGTCCGAGCCCTTTAAGCCCCTGCTCACGTCGAAACCCCACGCCACCGTTTCTCTAGAAGACTGTCTCACTCCGCAAGAGGGCCGGTAAGCGAACCCTATCAATAATCAATCATACCCACATACTGACTCAAGATGCCTACAGCTATCGTCATCCCTATGAGATAGAGATTCAGAAATCAAGCTATCCAGCATCCGTCTACGAATCCTCTCCTCCACAAGAGTACAAGCCTTTTGAATCCACCACAGCCACCTTTGTCGACACTATCGATGGCGTTCACGAAATGCTTGCTGAACTTTCGTCTGCGAAGGAAATAGCCGTTGACTTGGAGCATCATGACCTACATTCCTACCATGGTATCGTATCTTTGATGCAAATCAGTACGAGGGATAAGGACTGGATTGTCGACACTCTCAAGCCGTGGCGCGAAGAGCTTCAGGTTCTGAACAAGGTCTTCGCGGACCCGAGCATTCTCAAGGTCCTTCACGGTTCGACCATGGATATCATTTGGTTGCAACGTGACTTGGGTCTTTATATGGTTGGCCTTTTCGACACATACCACGCCGCCGTCGCCCTCAACTACAACAAGCGTAGCTTGAAGTTTCTCCTGGATAAGTTTGTGAACTTCCAGGCCCAGAAGAAATATCAGATGGCAGACTGGAGAATAAGACCATTGTCTCCCGGTATGTTCGACTACGCACGGTCCGACACACATTATCTACTCTACATCTACGACCATTTACGGAACGAGCTGCTCGAGAACTCAACGCCCGAAGAAAATAAGGTCGACTTCGTTTTGGAAAGGTCAAAGGAGGAAGCACTACAGAAATACGAACGTCCCGTTTACGACGCTGAGAGAGGCCGAGGGAGCGGCGGTTGGTACGACTATCTCACACGGAGTGCCGTCGACCTCAGCAAGGAGCAGTTCGCCGTCTTCAAGGCCGCACATCAGTGGAGAGATGCCAAAGCTCGTGAGCACGATGAGGGCGTGCAGGTCGTCCTCACGAAGAGGAACCTGTTTAAGCTTGCTGCTGCGATGCCACTTACTTCTGCGGCCCTGTTCAACACTGTAGTACCAGCTTCAAGCGTACTAAAGGAACACGCAAGCGAACTCCTTGAAATCATCAGGGAGGCAAAGCTTGCGGGTGCCACCGGTCCGGAAATGCAAAACGAACTTCACCTTCCCGGAATTAAATTCTCAACTTCAGCCCCGAAGCCGAGCGATGTTGCAGCCCCTGACGAACAGGCTCGCCCAACAATCGTGATGGACTCGGAAACCCAGGCCAAGTTAAGCAGGAGTGAGATGTCCCGTTTCTGGGGAGTATCCCTACCTGGTCCTTCGCCACCTAACGGATCGTCTAGTTCTGCTCCACTTGAAGCGCTCAGGCTTTGTCTCCCCCTCCCACCGGACGCCGCAGCAACTGAACTCAGCGACGACGAATCCGTCATCTCGACCCCTACGAAGTCATCCCCACCACCTGAAGGGCCTCCCAGGGCTGAAGACGTGGAAAAGCTTCCCGAAGTATTCACCATCAAAGAGCAGGGCGGTCGGCAGAAGCGCAAGCCTCAAACCCCGGCACAGAGTGCAGCCCCATCTTCTCAGTCGCTGGATGGCGCAGCTGACATCGATATGGCCGAAGATCAAGCGTCGGTCTTATCTTTGAGTCAGCCAAGCAAGAAAGCACGGAAATTAGCGAAGAAGGAAGCTTCCGGCTCTAGTTCTGCGGGTGGTAGTCGCTCGGATACGGCTCCGTTCGATTACTCTACCGCCGACTCGGTACTCCACGCGAAGCCTGACAGGGGTGGAGCTGCCGCGGCAGGGCACAAGAAGCCGTTCGACCCGTACTCGAAATCCCTCAACGCACCACAAGGTATGCGGAAGTCGAAGAAGGATATACCGGGGAAGACCTTCACGTTCAGACAGTGAATCCCAACCACCGGGTCATGACGCGATGCCGGAGTCAAGTGGGGGGGATCTGGATTGCATGTACAGGAGTACTGGGTGTTCTAAACATCATGATTCACCTTTCTCACGTTCCTCTATGTAGATGAGTGTTCTTTTTCTTTCGAGGCGGGATATACAGGATCATGGGAGGCAGCTTTGAAGATACAACGCATCGGCATGGGGCGGGATAAGGAGTTGTTTGAGTATATAAACCATCATTTGTCGGTGTCACTATTAGCATCAATGTTTGATTACTTTCTTCTTTTACTTTACTTCCGCTTCAGCCGTTATGAACTGCATAGATCAGGAAGCATTGTAGAAATTGAATAGTCGGAATCAACATCTGTTCGAAGTACAAAAGAGTCTCCTTCCTCCCATAGTATATACAGCGTGTATCCACCACCAAATCCACCCACGAACGCAAATCCCAACCCATCCCATCCATTCCACATCCCAGTCCCACAGTTAATTAATCCCTCCCCAGAGCCTAAAAAAAAGCGCAAAAAAAAACGAAATCTGTCCCCGCTGAGGTTCGAACTCAGGACCTTCAGATATCTAATTGTTTATTCAATTAAATCATAAAGATAAGAATTATGAGACTGACGCTCTTCCGACTGAGCCACGGAGACTTGTTTCTTAAATGGGAAGTTCGGGGAAATGTATTGATTAACGAGGTTTCTTCTGCAAAACTTTTTTACCGCCACCATCATAAGGGAGCCTGAAGCACAACCGCACCACACTATCACAAATACTATCGTTTAAAAAGGGCAAATACTAAAGCCACGACATGAGGTTTTGGAAGATTTATGATAATACGATGATGATATACCCGAAATGCTAGTCAAAAAAAAAAAAAAAACAAAAAAAACAAATGGCTGCCAGAGCCGTCCCTATGTCCCCCTTCCTACGCAGAGCAGCGACTTAAAGTACATGCAAAAAGACAGCCCAATCCTTCTCAGTAACATCCCAATAAATCCCAGCAGTTTGTAGACCGTCCGGCGGACTCACCGTTGGCCTAGCAAGCGACATGAGCCTAGGCAGGCTGGGCCAAGATGCTTGGATTGTTTGGAACATGGCGAAGGTCGGCGCTAGAGATGTGGAATGGAATTGGTCGCGCCAGGGCTCTATCGATGAAGTGCCTCTCCTGAGGTCCTGCTGTGCGAGCCAGGGTCTGCCGGCCCTCACTTGCGACGAGAGATTGCACGTCCTTCGCTGGGTTGGCGGTAGGATAAGGAAGAATAAAATCTGGGAAGCAGTTTAGTGGTTCGCATTCCGTACGATGGCCAATTGAAACTCACTTCTATAGATGACGGTAGCATCAACCGCCTGAGCGGTAACCTTCTTTGCAAATCCGCTGTCGTTAACGATCCAAGCAGTGGACACCTAGATATGCAATTATAGGTTCGGTTATACTCGCGGCGAATTTCTAACGAACCTGGGGTGTGTTGAAAAATTCAATGGTTCCTTCAAAAGCCATAGTTTCTAAAACGCGGCCAGATTCCCCAGCAGTTTCCGCATTGTTACCAGGTTGTGGTTGCTCCACCCAGTTTTGCGGGATGATCTGCGGCGGCGTTATAGGCCGGCCTTGGTACAAATATGTAAACAGCAGGTGTGCCCCGATTTCATGAAAAAACAGGTTGGCAAATTGGAACTGAAAGCGCCTAAATTCCCCCGGAGTATTACTAGCATTGACCATATCATCGACAAGCTCGACAACCTGTTAGCGCGGGATGAGGAATACATAGATGTCCGGATGATTACCTGTTGGTTTATATGGACTGATTGGCTGCGAGGGATAAAGGTCCCGGACCACTCTCCGCGTGGGTGGTAAGCTCTGACAGTCGAGCCAGCCAGGTGTCCGTCCAAAACGATCAGCGGTGCCTGTCCTTGTACAATACCGACGAACTGGTTGACACGAGTGGTTATCGCCATATCGGGGGCTCCTTCAAAGGTTCGCTCCTGAGCTGGAAGATTCTGGTCGAAGATTCTCGCTAATAACACCATAGATTCTTTGACACGCGCAGCAGAAAGCATGGAGAGCGCAATGTCTAATGCTGATGCGACATATGTGTATTCGTGGGTGTTTGGTTCCTGCGGTGGCACGGTCCCAATGCCGGCAGTCCTTTTGACGATTTGATATCTAGCAGGAGACGCCATCTTCGGAAATGTCAGGGCAGTTATATGGTAACAAGATTGATATAAGATTCTAGATTTTCTAGATTCAGCTATAGAGGCTGGTCGGTTGGGGTTGGTTTGCTTTTGTAAGGTATTGCCTAAATGAGTAATAATTGGAGAGATATCGAGGAGAAAGAAAACGATGCAGTGATGGTTCAACACTGGAGGTCTTTGGGGGGGATTTCAACCCCTTTTTATAATTGAGCAAGACGTTCAGGCTGCAAGCTCCATGTCCGTTGGACACTCTTTCCCCAGAGGCTGTTGCCCCAGCTAAGACTTCCCATGATTTGGAACCATTTCAGAAGATATACATCCAAATGGTTCGATTGGATATGGCTTTCATTATTTTCGCATGAGTTGCTGAACCCGCGCGGTAATCTGAAACTCCGACGCAAGGAGACACCCGTAACGTCGGTTCAGATTACGCAGGATCTCTGAATAGCTTCAATAGAATTGATTATTGTTAACAACAAGATCTCAAAATAGAAATGCCACCAGTGACCACAGCACCGGGGCGGCTAATTAACCGTTAGTCATCCAATCACCCGCTCGCACGTTCAGACTTCAATAAGACCTCCTTGCATCAACGCAAGTATTCTTGGGAAGACTCATTACGCCTTCCTCCACAGTTCTTGATCTCTGTTTCAAGTTGGGATTTGATTCATTTCATTCGTTGTCAAGCTTTGTAACCGCCTGCACTAACTTAAGCCACCCTTTTCACACCCTCCCTTGAATTTGTCAGTAATTCATGGTAGTCACATCGAATATAGACTTGGGAGAGTCGGGCGGCGCTTAACAATCTCCTTGAGTCTTCCTTCTACTCCTCTAGGTCGCTTTACTTTTCTAAACTTGTTGAATTACTACTCATTTGAGCTTTGACCCGCTGCTAAAAAGGTAGCCATGATATCTCTCTCAGACATCGACCAGGAGAGGTCTGTCATCCTGACGAACGTACTCTCGACTGTTTTAAGGAGTGCCATCGTGAAGAATGTTTTCGCTCAGGTTATCGATGGCTTACCGATCAGGTCAATGTACGAAATCATATCCACCTGCCGGAGTGAATTGCTCTCGAGAAACGAGCCATCGGAGCAGTCGAGACTGCTATCAGGGCGATTCTGTGACAAGCCCGAGGACATATTTTCGTCTTTGAGCTTGAACCCAACTGTACGACTTAGTTTCCTCTTTCTTTATTAACTCCGAGGGTTCTGAATGTGGGCGTAGTGACTAACTTTATCGCATCTAGGTAGCCCAGCTATATCAAGATAGTGTTCTCTATTCACCGCATTTCAACATGCATCTTCTGGAACTGGCAGCGACCGCAATACACGATATAGCCGGGAATCTCTATGCCACATTCCATCCCAACGGTGAGCCGGAACGCTCCCAACCGGGTCTTGTGAGTTTCCGAAACAGCATATCTTTGTCCACGAGACTTTATTCATTTTCCAGTCGGTACCCCAGAGGTGCCGTGGATGTTGTCGGTTATTGGGCGGAAACTCATATATTTGGGGGAGTTGTGGTCTTCGATCGAGGCCAAGACTCGCAGGCTAGACATGTAAGTAGAACGTTCAAACAACTTCGACCCCAGCCTTCCAGTTAACCAATCCCCCCAGTGCTATGGGGCGTACATCCACCCTCGGCCCTGCGGACAATTATTTCAACTCTCCGAGGCCCAGCTTCGGGGCCTTAGCCGACTTGGGTCCGAAGAAAACGTGGATCTAGGACAATTCCCCCTACCTTTCGCCCCTGAACCCGATGCCAAGACGGTTCATCATGTTACTGCTTTCCAGGATCTCAATATCTACCGAGATCGGTATGAGAGGTATATTCCTGTTCCTCGCGGCGGAGGTCCTTGCGTTGTAAGGCTTGAAGATCATCCTGAACTTGTCGAATTTCACAAACAGGCGAGGAAGATGTTTGAAGACCCATGATTGTATATTCGGCAAGGAATCTAGTTTAATCGCTTCCATTCCCGTTTCTGATTTGTTTCTGCTGTTTTTGGTTTTCTTGACTTGTTTGGGTTTATGTCTGCTTGTTGCTTTGTATCTCTTTCGCGTGCCTTTACCGAAGTGGGTATGATGTATATTTTTAAGCTGTTAGTTACAAATCCGCTGGTTTGACATGCCTGACCCCTTCGTGGGCCCGTGGCCCAAGATCATATGTTTTAATGACCAAGCTAACTCACTTCTCATCTTAGTAGCTAATTCAACCACCAGCTGATTTTCATCTCTAGATAGCTTCACTCTGATATAAGATTGAAGCTTTAATCAATGAAGACTGGTTTATTCTCTAATTAGTCGATCACAAATTGTAAGGCCTAGTCTAGTCTATATATAAAGACGAGCCTGTCTAAAGAAGAAGGGATCAATCAAAACCAGTCTCATCAGCTTCTCAACTTGTGTAAAACGCAGCCACGAGATTTCGCCTCGGACCCGTGGTCTTGAGCATTCTCTCCTCGTCCATCGTCTTCTTTTCATTTTATATTTCTGTGAATCCATGTTGTATAGTTAGACGAGTAATAAAGTAGTCTCGGCAGTATGCCCAGCCTCCTTTGCGCTGGCAAAACCCCCCTCTAATGTAAAGGACTTAACGAGACGAATGGAGAGGCATGCTCCGAAAACTAGGTGAGACTACCGTTGTTCAAGAAGAGTTTCATCCAAACGAAATAATCGCCGGCCTTTTTTTTCCACACTCCTTAAGGGTGCCATGATATAATTGAGGCATATGAAATTTGAAGGGTAAGGGAGCAACTCGCTCGTATATATATATATATACTATACGTAGGGGGGCGGGGTCACGCATCTATCATGTAGGAGTGATTGCAAGAGAAGAGACCGTGTCGGATTCTGTTCAGGGTTAACGGATTGATGAATTTGTTGAGGCGGAAGTATCCCGTAGATATATGGGAATGAATCAAGCAGTAATTCGCTTCATCATAAATTTCCCCAGATCTCACCGTCCCGTCCCCACGTTCGGGGACGGACGAGCTTGTACTCGTATGTCCGAAAGAATGGGTGGGTTGGGTTGTCCATGCATGCACGCAAGAATCCCCTGTGCCGTGTCGAACACGAACAGTTTATTTGTTTCTCGGGTTCCATGACTCCACGACCACGAACTTCCTACATACAACATTGCGTATGTATGCACCCCGTACATCCAGGAAGCTTAGGATAAAATGTACGGGTAGGGAACGGGTCTCATCAGACCCTGTCTGTCTGTCGGATGGATCTATATAAAGAACTGGAAGGGAAGGGAAGCAACGCAGACTAATAACCCCTGCCCTGGTATCCTGTCCGTTTGACGAGGGGTCGGATAGGGTAGGCCTGGTAGGGTAGGATAGTACTTATTCTGCTTTACCCAAAGATAGAAGTGAGCCATGCCATCCCTGATTGTGATTGCAGAAGAAGCGCCTTTTCATCAGTTCTCCGCATACGCGAATCAACAAAATCCCTGG